AAACCTTGTCGAAACGTTGTACATTTGCTGTTATGTTAAACTTATATTAAAGTTTTTCTTCATTACCCATTCAAGCATCTCCAGCTTGTATTAGTCTCAAAGTGGGTTCCTCCTTATCGAATTATGCAACTGTGTGCTCTGTGGGTTTGATGTGTGGCATTTTTTGACCATGCTCTGTTTATATGATCATTACTTATTAGTTCTTTTTCACCGGATTTTCTTTCATATTTTGGTTGTTTGTTGACAGTCATTTAATGTGTTGCTGTTGGTTAAGATAGATGCTTAATCCAAAATCACACATAAATAATTCCCAGAAAGGGGGAGTAAAGTTAGTACCTAAATCACATGAAGATATTCAGAAATGTTTGTTTTGGGACAGTCGTACCAAGGCAGGCTATTAAAATTTAATGAATTGACTGGCCAATCATACCAAGGCAGACTATTAAACTTAACAAATGAAGAACCAACTGGTCAGTCATACTAATACAGATTATTAAAAGATATGATATGTGCATTTGGTATTTTTAGTGACACGCCGTAAGTTTATTGTTTGAATATAAACGTAATTCTCATTAATCACAATCTGTATCAAAAATTTCATTTGTGGTAAAATAGCGCGGGAATTCTAATTTACTGTTTCAAACAAATTGTTTAATTTGGTATCAAACACACGTACATGGCCAACGTGATTTATGTATGGCTCGCCGAGTGGTTTAACCGGTAAATATCTGTAAGTGTTATGTAATAATGAGAAAAATATACTCCTGTTAGTGTTAGTACAAAGTGTGAGATAATGCAAGAATTGTGTATACAGAACGTACCATGCTTGTATTTTTAACCACAAGGCTAAAGAGGTTTAGTAGAAAATTGTATTATTTTACACATATGCAAGACCTTAGTACTAAGAAACACCTAGATCGTTTATGCAGTTGCTAATAGTTGGTCTCTTTAGCTCGTATTTTGACTACAGCGTTTACATTATTTACTCGGGTTGGTTAATCTCGGTCATTCTGTAGAATCTCGCTTCATGTAAATTAATAACGTATTTTTCTTTGATAACACATCTGTAATTAGTTTGTTTATTCTGATAACAATTGCAGAGTTAATAACGAGTTATAACAGATATTCATGGGCGGGTATTTGTATTGGTGGCGACATCTAATGGATATAAGATGTCGGAAATTCTTTTCTATATTTAGTTATTTAAAAAAAAATATCATCACAGTTCTATACAACGAAAATACGTTATACAATCGTAATGGTTGTCAATTTGGCTTGAAATTGAAGCGTAGATAATGAAATCAGGTAATCTGGCGGTATTACTGTCCCTTTTTCTTTCTCATTATCAAAAGTGTTTAGATAAAGTAAAGTATATAATGCACAAATACTGTCATGCATGACTAGTGTGAGATTGGATGAATGATAAACCTCTACTTTCCGATTTAAACATCCTGTAAATGTGGGTGTGGGCTGTCGCTGACGGCGATATCTCTTAGAATGTTACAGAAGAACGTATACCCAAATGAAAAACAAAATAAAACTACTGGTTGTGTTAGGCTTAAGGTTGAACCTTATTAGTGAGAAAAAAGGAGTATGGTGGCTTCGTTGTTCGAGTGGTTAACAAAAAAACGTGCTTTTATAGCCAGTGGCGTAAATATGCCCCTGCAGCCCCCCGCAATTGCGGGGGAGATTCAGTCAAAAGGGGGCCCGAAGGACCTGACAGACTTAAGAATTGACGATAAGGGGAATAGATAAGGAGTCCCGATTACTTTTTATGCAGGGGAGGAGAGCATC